TTCCCCTTACTTTTTGCTCATCTCCAAGGCTGCGTTTTTCGACATTGCTGTCGAAACGCAAGGAAGAAAAGGCGAAGGCGTGCCAGACTGCCAGAACCCCGACCTTGACAAATGTCAAAACACGCGCTTGTTTCACCACCTCCATTCCGAGATTTTGAAACTCGGCCCGCCGCAGGCTGGCGGTCTCCGCCCATGTCGAAAGGCTCTCCTTTGACAAATGTCGAACCCGTTTCGACATTTTTCCTTCGCCAACAACACTTTCTTGCCTTTTCTCCACGTGGTGAGTAGTGGAGCAAGGCCCTAAGAGTTGAAAAGATAAGTTATGCTAAAAACAAACCAGCAACTCTTCTTTTTTGTCTTTTCTGCATGTGGTGAGTAGTGGAGTGAGGACTACTGCCTATCTCTCTCGGCTACTCCAAAAAAAATAAAAAATAAAAAAAAAAACGGAATCACCAACTCCTCTTTTTTTGTCTTTTCTGCACGTGGTCAGTAGTGGAGTGAGAGTACTACTGCGTATCTCTCTCGGCTACTCTTAAAAGAAACCAACAACTCCTCTTTGTTTTCTTTTCTTCACGTGGTAAGGGCCTCGTTGCACTACTCTCCATAGGCCAAGTTTGGCGAGTAGGTGCCTGGTTGCACTTTGGCCAAACTTGACGGATGCAAAATCTGTCAGAGGGCTCACCACACCGTCGACACAAGTTGTGGAGAGTGAATTCGGTTTGCCCGCCTGTGCACGGCGGTTTGTGGAGAGTGGTCCTCGGACCTCTCCACAAAACAGCTTTCTGGAGAGTGCAGGGCTTCACGAGTCGCAATCAGGTAGACAAAGAAAATTAACTTCTTTGTAGAAGAAATATAATGCATTTGGCGAGTAAGTGCAACCAGGACTCGAGTTCGACACGATTCTCAGTTTTTTCACTCTCCACGCATCCGCCACGAAATGTGATGGATGGCGAGTAGTGCAACTAGGCCCTAAGTAGTGGAGTGAGAGTGAAATGTGATGGATGGCGAGTACTGCAACTAGGCCCTAAGTAGTGGAGTGAGAGTACTACTGCGTATCTTACTCCCTAAGTAGTGGAGTGAGAGTACTACTGCGTATCTTACTCCCTAAGTAGTGGAGNCCCTAAGTAGTGGAGTGAGAGTACTACTGCGTATCTTACTCCCTAAGTAGTGGAGTGAGAGTACTACTGCGTATCTTACTCCCTAAGTAGTGGAGTGAGAGTACTACTGCGTATCTCGCTCAGCTACTCGAAAAAGAAACCAACAACTCCTCTTTTTTGTCTTTTCTGCAGGTGGTGAGCAGTGGAGTTACTGGGGTGAGAGTACTACTGCCTATCTCGCTCGGCTACTCACCAGGGGCAAAGTTGAAATGAACCAAGGGGCGTAGCTCAGTTGGTACACCCATGAACTGTTGAAATACAGACCAATGTTTGAATTCAGACACAATCATATGAACAGAATACAATCATTCTGAATTACTTGGAGCCCGTCAGTTTAATGATGAGATCTCAAGGCCGTTGGCCTTTTAAAAAAAGAGGGGAAAAAAAAAGGTTGAAATGAGTCCTCCCCCGAAACATCTAAAGATATACCGCCATAAAACGAAAACGAATCTGCTTCCAAAAATACCTTTCTCGGCCTTTTGGTTAAGATCAAGTGTAGTATCTGTTCTGATCAGTTTAATATCTGATCCGTGGCCCATTGGGCCACATTAAAAAATAAAAATAAAAAAAAATTCTGCTTCCAAAAAGACAAAAAACAAGGAATCTTACTGGCAAATCTACTTGGGGAACAACAATCATTATAGCGCTATGTCCTTGTATTCCAACATGCTCCGGCCTATGCGGGTTGGAAACAATGGCAGCTGAGGGCCTCGCCCCGCCACTCTTACCAAACTCATTTTCAATCAAGAGTTGCTGCATGGACACACTGGCCCACACAGCCTCTTGAAACTTGGGGCTTTCAAGAGCTGTCAGAGTGGCTGCTCTTGAAAGATTGGAAACCCCAGCGCCCAGCCCGCCTGCAACTCGTGCTTTTTCAAGCGTCCTTGGCCGAACCCATGAGGGACTTTAAATTTTCAAGAGTTGTTGTCAGGCCGTTATCAAGACGCCATTCGAAAAAAACAAAGATGTCCCACAGCCCTTTTTTTTTTTTTTTTTTGCAAAGCTTCAAATGTATTGCACAAAATGGGGCGAGCCGGGGGACCTCACAATTCTACCCGGAGTTATCCTGGCAGCCTCAGCCAGTTTCGCATACGAGCCCAGCTAGAAAACCCCCAGGTAATCAACGTTCATAACACCTGTCTGCTGGAAACCGGATCCAGCGTCCCATTCTAAAACAAAAGTCTTTCCAAAATTAAACCTTGAAGCACAAGACAGTCCTTTTTCATCCTTCGCCACACCGCTCTTGAAACGGGAAAATATCTCAAGAGCTGTCAGACGTTCTCAAGAGTTGCGTTTTTTTTTTTTTTTTTTTGGGAAAGAGTTGCGTTTTCAAGAGTTTTCTTTGGGCCCATCGCCAAACAGGACTCTCGAACGGGCCATGGTGTTGGACAAAGGATGAAAAGCGACAGTCGTACATCTTTGTACATCTTTGTTTTTTTTGGATTGGCGGCTTGGTAACGGCCTGACAACTCTTGATTGAAAATCGGTAGTCCCTCAAGGGTTGGGCCAAGGACACTTGAAAACGCACGAGTTGCAGGCTCTGGCTGGAGTTTCCAATCTTTCAAGAGCTGCTCTTGAAAGAAAGGGTTTCAAGAGGCTGCCACACAGACAGCTCTTGAAAGCCCCACGTTTCAAGTGGCTGTATGGCCACCCAGCAACGCTTGAAAATGAGTTTCCAAAAGTGGTGTGGCGAGGCCCCCAAAGTGCTGTGTGGCGAGTTTCCAAAAGTGGTGTGGCGAGGCCCCCAAACGTCTGACAGCTCTTGAAAATTTTCCCCGTTTCAAAAGTGGTGTGGCGAGGCCCTGAGTTCGAGGAGAAGTTGGGCCCGCTCGTTGTCCCGGAAGTTTTCCCAACAACGAGATCCGCTATTCGCTTTATTAAGAGTACAGAGAGAGAGAGAGAGGGAGTGAGAGAGAGATAGGCAGAGAGATAGAGAGACAGGAGTGCGCACACACACACGGCCACACACGGCCACACACGGCCACACACACGGCCACACACAGAGAGAGAGAGAGAGAGAGAGAGAGAGAGAGAGAGAGAGAGAGAGAGAGAGAGAGAGAGAGAGAGAGATGGACAAGCGTCTGGTGATAATTAAGGATGGGCAGTTTCGGGTTGGAAATTACAGTCCGTGCAGGTTGTTTGGATCGCCCGTGGAATGATTCTTGGGTGCCATTTTGCATCCTTAAAACAAGGGGGTAATTGCAGAAATAGCTTGTTTCCGGGTGGAAACGTTGTCGGGGTCCGAGAGATGTATTTTTGAAACATAAGTGGGACCCCGTCCGCAAATAATTTTGGTGTGAAACAACGAAAGATGTATTTTTGCAACTAGACTTGGGCCCCACCACTATTTTTGCTGTGAAACTGCCGCGGACGCGAACGGTAACGTGCTATTTTTGAAACTCGCCCTTTAAATAGGACTGCTCGGTATACTTGTCATTGTGAAAGATATCCCTCCATCTGAGATTCGGCATTCTACGCGCGCCCCGAGGACTCGTCCGTCCATCCCCCCTGACCTGATTCTCGTCATGAATTTGCCTCGTCAATTGTGGTGAATAGGTTACAACTTAAAAAAGTCCTTCGGATTAACATCAGACGAAAAATGATTTCAATTTGCAATTTTGGAGAAGTAATAGCCCTTGGGAATTTAGGCAATATGTTCTTAGGGACTTCAGCAACGTGTCCTTAGGGATAAGTCACTTTTGTCGTTCTTTTTTTTTGTTTTCTGCCTCTTGTGGCTGGAGGGAGTTTCCTATTGCAAACATGATAACTTCTAAACGATTTTTATTTGAAACAGAAAAAATTTCTGAAGGCATTTCTCGGTCCCTTTGGCGACAGAATGGCACACGCGGTCCTTCCAGATATCCGTTAAAATTGGAACAATACCGAGAATGAAGATTAGCATGGCCCCTGCGCAAGGATGACACACATAAAATCGAGAAATGGTATTGAAAAAAAAATAAAAAAAATGGCACACGCATATGCCTGTTAATAAGAGCAGATCATGAGTTCTGTTAATAAGAGCAGATCATGAGTTCAAGTCCTGTTCAATTCACCAACGTTAGGGGCTACGCCTTTTGCAAGAAACTCAAAAGACCGCCCTCCCCCCCC